ACGCTGGACCACAACGGCAACCAGATAGCCTCATTTCACACAGGCAGCTCACAGTCCGCGCGCAGATTGAAGGGATTTGGTGGAAGGTTGCGTAATCAATTGCGCCCAAGCCCACTGGCAGCTATTTGAAAGGCACCTGTAGTCGACTGGTGCACGAAAGATCGGGAAGACGACATCGGAGGTTCCGTTCTCACTGTAATAAATCTAGAGCGCTTGGATCTACCAGCATTTCCTAGAAGTTGCAATTTTAAAGTTGCCCACTGACGAGATAATTTGGCCCTAGCAGGACTGATGCTCAGGTCATACTGTTGACCTCCTCTAAACGTGGCCTTTATGGCGGTCCCAGTTATGCGGGGCCCTAGCCACCTCTATAGGAGCCTAGTGCATGCAGCGTGGAGTAGGCAGTTTATAGCACGCGTGGGCGGATTATTTAGCTTTATCAGCCCCCATTCTTGAGCCCCACTCTGTCTCGTCTTACCATCGGACCGAGGTGGTTGAGGAACGAAAGAAGATGATTATTTTGCCTATCATCAGGCGAATGTCTCCGTTCATGTGTCAGTTACACAGTGGGACACATGGTTAAGCTGTCGGCTGCAATTGATTCCCTTTGAAATTAACAAATAGTTTCCTTGTAAGTTTTCAGGCCGTTGCTGCGCATCTCTGTATATGATTTTTGTTGTTAAGGTTCTGCATTTATAAAGACGGTAATACTTGACAATAATTTAGCTTTGGGAAACTTTCCTCTCGAGTTCGTTGGCATTTACGCGTGCGCCAGTTTGTCGATGGCTACTGCGAACTTCGTAAGATCTTCCTTGGAATTGGGCATCCAAGTCGCTGCGTGAGTTATCATACGGTTTGTTCCTCAAAAATAGTGTTCCAATTGGGGGTTCTCTGCTGGTATGCTCCGTTGGGAAGCACCTTCCCTTACAAGAAGACTTTGGCCTTAGCAGTGGTCCCCCTTGTCGCCTATGAAGCCATAAGAGATCTCGAAAGCGCTTGACGGTTGTGTCAGTTCGGTTATTTATCTGTCCGTCGTCGTTACCAATCACCCAAATTTATCCCTGTGACGACATTATCTTGTAGGCAATTGCTTCACTCCCTGTTTAAATGGGCTATTCGGTTTTTTGGTGAAGACTTTTTCAGGAATCCATGTTCTTTCTTTTCACTTACTCAACCTTCTCTGTCTAGATCATCTCCTCAATTCCCGAGAACGGCCTGACCAGTGTTACTGTCTACTTCGCCGGTGGCGATCAGATGGATCTGGCCAATGTGGACGCCAGTTCCCTCTCTCAGACCCTCCAGCCCATCTACGACGCCATGCTCAAGGCCGCTCTGGGCGGTCAGCGACAGTGGAACTTATTAGTCAACAACGCCGGCAGTCTGGGGAATATCCAGATCCGCTCAGACGAACACACCTCTCCCACCTCCCTTGAGACCTACTACCGCGTCAATCTCTTT